TTTAGAGGTAATATTCTTCATCTACGTCTATATATTTGTGTAAGATATGACGATTTTTTTCCCCCCCTTTCTAAACAATAATCTAGAAGCTATGCCATGGTCTTGTTAGCCTCTTGTCGATGCCCTCGCGTTGTTTGAGTCTCTAAACTCTGGCGCGCTTCGCTCGCCAGAGAAACGAGGCGCTGCCTCTTGTCGATGCCCTCACGATGTTGGAGTCTCTAAATTCTGGCTCGCTTCGCTCGCCAGAGAAACGAGACGATGCCTCTTATCGATGCCCTCGCGCTGTTGGAGTCTCTAAATTCTGGCGAGTGAGCGCGAGGACATCGACAAGAGGCTATGGTCTTGTTGATGATAGAATCACACAAGGCAACAAAATATGTAGACTCAACCGCAGAACAGTAAACAAAAAAAAACGATACAAAAAAACAACAACCGAAAAACACATTGGGACGGAGGTTTGACCATGGGATTGTGTATGTAGCACACGCTTAAGCAACTTATGAAATCATTAATTTTAACCCAAGCTTTCTTAATCTCGATCATTTTATACAAATCAATGAAAAATACATGAGGTAGGCCCGTGGAGAAACTGATATCAAATAATTAACCTCGATTCTTGTCCCCAATCGGGTTTTAATGCAGTTTATCATGATGAATTACATGTATAGCATTAGCAATCCTATATTACCCAACGTTTCTCCGAAAATACACGCCACACCTAAATATGCTCGTAATCTAGAAAGCTGGATGTGGGAAATGATTTTTGAATGCGTCCAAAAGTGAAATATATCTTCTTGGCAAAATGTTCACTTGGCGATATTCCAAATTGCATTATCCATACCATTTCTATTATAAACTAATATGTATAATTGCGTCCAATGCAAGTCATGGGGAATACATTTGTATATCCGACATATACACAAAGATATAATTTCATTTCACTTCCCTATACCATGTCTGCCTGATATAGCGACGTGTGGCACTTGAAATACTGCGAGAGCTATTGACGTGCTAATAATGATAATGCTTTAATACATGTTTACTATATGCATTTTTGGGTTATTTTTATTCTATTTTACATGGAGCCAACTGGTCAAAGTGCTGTTATAAGACGTATATGTGTATCAAGTCTTGTAAAAAGTAAATAAGTCGGCATAGTTCACTACCTTCGTTTAAAAAAAAGATTAATTTATCCACGTGATCTTGTTTAATGCAAGGTATTAACAAATTTACACTGATATCTTTTTAAAAGTCACCATATAGGCCTGATAAATATGTCTTTGGTAATTAAGATTTGAGGTAGGCATACGTTTTAGCAGCATGATTAAACAGGTGATCTAAATTCATGTTTTATTTTCACAGAAAAAAAAAAAAGGAACAACAAGAGCTGGCAATCGCAGTGAATTCTTTCAGCACATGACATTCCGAGAAGAAGAAAAAAAAATAGATTCATATTCCTTCCTTGGCTGGCATGATATTCCGGAATAAATGTCAATAAATACTCGTGAGGAATAGGTAAAGAATTATACATTTCCCCTCTGTCCTTGAAACTTATTTTACAGATCTAACTTCTCTCTTGAAAAATGTGGACATGTCACAGGCTGTTAATTACAGCACTTACACTAACGCGCACGTGAATATAAGTAATATTTGATACATCGCTGAAAATAAAATATGACCCTAAAAGTGTACTTCTTAAATTCCACTTAATCACTATGTTGAATACACCGCGCCCCAAATGCACTTTTAATCCCTTTTAGTGGTTGCTGGCCGAAATAACCGAAAATCAAACCAAGGAGTAGTAGACCTACTTTGCCAGTACATACGTTACAACCACCCGCAAGAGTTGGATTTAAGCGGTTTAAAAGATCTGATTAAAATAGTGTTCGAACACATGTCATACTACCGGATAGGAATACGGTCTTTGAATGGCTGAGCGCCTCATCTTAGAAACTGGGCTAGGAATCGCCTTCAGCGCCTTTTATTCTCACGAGAAAAACAAAACAAAAAACGATTAATGAATTAAATTATGCTCATAATCATCATCATCATCTTACTTCTCCCTTCATCATCATACACGCCATTTTTCTTCTTGTTCTCATCATCATCATCATCAACACATCGCCCTTCTTCTTTCTCGCATTTGCTTCTGAACGCTCCTCGTCTATTTTTATTTCACTTCTGTCCCTTCTCTCAATACGCATAACACTTCACATTTTATGCTGAAAAAAGCAGACATCTGAACAACAATATCTTGCCACCAAACATCGTATGATACCCAATAGTATTTTTATACAACCAACATACTATAATCATTATACAATATAGAAAGCAATTACAAAATTAAGCCCGCACTGCACAGCGTGTCAACAAATTCACGAACTGTATAAATATATATCGACAGTTGACACATATTTTTTTATAAAAAATACAACAAGAACAGTCTTGTCAAAAAATTAACATGTGTCAATAACTTCTTACGATATAGCACACATGTATTATTTGGATGATTTCTATGATTTGTGTGGAGGTGTCGTGGTCCAGTGGATACGTCACCAGACTGTGGATCACAAGGTTTGCGGTTCGCGTAAATAATGTCCTTTGGCGAGACATTAATCTACATTTGCAACACTAGTCGACCCAGGCGAGATAAATGGGTACCTGGAAGGAATGAATGAGCCCTGCTAGAGCCGGGGTAATAATTGTGGAGCACCAGGAATATACAAGAACCCACTATGATCATTATGACTATTATAACGACTAGAAATGAACATAATAATTATATTGAGTGTTTACATTTTGCAATTTTAATTGTGAAATTTCAAGGTATTTTCAAATATCATACTAAATTCACTTTGGTTGACACTTTTAAATGTTTCACATATATCTTTCCTTCTTAAATGATTATATCTCAGAATAAAACAATCTGTCACTAAATTTGAATCCATCACAAATCTCAACCCATACAGGGACGAGTACTCTCATTTTCATGCAGTTTGACTCCATAATTTACTTTCGATTCAGAATCCTTAAAAAAAGTCTGAAGCATGAGCAGAACATTCTGTACACACTGTGTCAATTTGTCTTTACGTAACATATGCCGTTTGAAGCCAACAATTCTAAAAGGACCATAAACAACAACATTATTAATTTGACAACACTAACAATTGGGAAAGCTTAAATGATTTTGCATGCATGTATTTTTATGCAAGCTAGCGTTCATGGGGGGGGGGGGGGGTTGACATATCTTTCGGCCCAAGAAAATTTGTCTTCTTCCCTCTAACTTTTTATTAAACCATTTGCAATAAACCTAAAAGAAAAAAACAGTCAGTGTTGTCAATTTGAAGAAAAATTATAAATTTAGCCTTTGATATACACTGGGAAAAAATAGTACCACATATAGATAATAATTTTCTGCCACAAATAAATATTATTTATTTGCTTTGGTAACTAATCATATACTCGATCACTATGAGAATATAACATATTTCAGTGAACACCAGAATTACACTTTAAAATAAAATCTTCACTGGGAAATATAAATTTCTATCAATTGTTGAAGACACTCAATTATTTAAAACACAAAACTAGACTTGTTAAAATATACGATGGTAGAAGAACATAGACATAGATAGATAGTGTATACATGGTCATAACCCGTTCATACTGACGTACTCATTCAGTAGTCATACCAGATCTATAACGCAAATTTACATTAATATTCATCAATGATTATCGTATCATATGCCTTGCATAGAACATGTGATAGTTATACTATTGTATACACTTTTAATGCGTTTAAAATTCAGCCTCAAAACAGACTAAAATCAGAAGTACATTACAATTTCATTCTCTGGAAAATGAATTTTGCTTGCACTGCTTATCTACTACATCATCACTAATTTTTCACGTTTACATTATTTACAAACATAAACCCCCCCCCCCAAAAAAAAAAAAAAAAATCAACATTAAATTCATACTGAAATAACATGGGGCTTGAAAGATAGGACGATATAATTACATATACAAGATCATGATAAAAAAGTTTAGACATGAAATACATACAAACAAACAAACATATCTTGAATCAACAATAACAAATACTTTTATGTCATGATGAAATGGATGGATAGCAAAAGCAAATCATTTGGAATTTTCTGATGAGGAGTTTCATGATGCAGTTGAAATATTAAAGATGACAAGTTATATTCAGGCAAGTTAATTTTGGCTTCAGTGTATGCAGTCATTTTTCAATTATTTACCTTAATTCAATGAAGTCAAGAAGAATTGTTTAAGCCTTAATATATTAAACATCATGGACTTGAAAATAATGTGCGAGTTGCTCTGATTTGAGTGATTATTAACTTGACTTATTGTCACAACGTTTGATTTGCGTGGAGCAGACATTTACATGTATGTTAAAGTTCAATAAACCAAGTGCACTCAATTTGGAATTGAATCAAAACATCAAGTGTAATTCTTAAAGGTAAAGACCAGTTATGGTCATGCGATTGCACTGTGAAAGAAACGTTGTGGAATCGATCAGAAAAGGTTGATCATCTAGCATATAAGTATTGGTGTGTACTGCAAGGTTCTGGAATCATCAAAAGGATAAGAAATTTGGCCCAGTCTTCGTAAAGTTACAAGCACTGTACACAGAAAGATGTATATGGGACTATACGCACACGTGCGCGACACGTGCGTTTATCTCTCACAGACCATGTAGATAAACTAATTTACCAAATATATCAATTATATTCTTTCACATGATTGGTAATAAGAGCTTCTATTTCATTATTTGAAATTGGGGCGTTTCCAATACTGGTCTTTACCTTTAAATAAATTTGCATTAACGTCAATGACAGTTAAATAAATCAAGCCTTTTCTTGAATGGTGTAAAATGTAATGAATTCATAGTGTATTTTGACTTGAATTCAAAGTTTGAAACTCATTACTAGTATATCATTGCATTCATTGTATTTTTCTTGCCACAAGAGGGCTCATATCACTTTTAATGTTGGATATTGTGTGAATGAAGTAACAAGCAGACAATGTTGGGTTTGTTTGCGTGCTATTCTACTAATTCTAGCATGTTAAATAAAGATCTTGAAATCTCTAATGATGTCACAGCTGATATCAGTAAAACATATCATGTATGTTCGCACTTTGCCTCTTTGATAAAACATATTGCTGACAGGTTAAATTCCATCTCACAATGCTCCAACACTGACATCCATGCTTAATCCAAATTGTGCTTAAAATAAATGTATTAAAGTCAAACAGTACCAAATGTGGTTGAGACTTTACTAATGTGCATGAAAACAAAAGAACCAAAAGTAAGTACATTTTTACCATGCTCTTTAAAATAGCATTTGCATAAGAAGGGATAAAAATTAATTAAAAAACATTCCTTCCTGCAGAACATGAAAAAGGTTGGTTGGAGGGAATAAAATGATAATATCAAAACACTTATATTTTTTATGAAACTGCCTGAAAAATTAACATAAGAGAGAATACAACTTTTATTACAAATTTTGTATTTTTTCTGGAAATATAATACAATTAAAAAACAAAAACTTGGCTCTTACCGGCATATATGCCTTTGTTGCTATAACTTGAAGGCTTGTCTTAATACTGTTTAGCATTTTCATAATTATATAGCGTGCAAACAAAATTGTGTGGTGTGCCTTCATAATTTTCTCAGGATAATAAAGCCAAGGGGATCTCTCTCTCATAGGAATAATTCCCCATAACTACGCTAGGCTTTTTTCCCCTCATCTTTGTTCCCAGATTATACAAAAACTTCGAAAGAGGGTTAATGAGTTCCAATAATATGACATAAACAATTAATGTAGATTGTTAGCATACATGTAGCTAAAATGTAAATGTAACGATGCGGTGCACAAAAAACATGATTGGTATCATTTCAACATAAAACAGATGAAGAAAAAGACCTTGAGCAATGGACCAAGGATACGGTTATCCTATCAAAAAGATCAAACTTGCTTGCCCAACAAGATCTTTAAAAATCTGGAGCAGTGAGTAAGTGCATTGGCTCTGGAAAGATGTGAACGAGCTTTTGGCATGACCAGAACTTATCTTAACACGACACCTTATGAATTGCAGTAGACCGCCCCCCCTCCCTCCCCAGCAAGAATATGTTAAGAGTTAAGATTAGTTCAATTGATAATTTCCATATTTTGCATAATTAAATGTTAACCAACCTTCACCATTTCCAAAATTTCAAGTAAGTTTCTACTAGTTTTACAATAATTGGGTTAAAAATATAAATTGCCTTGAGGGAGTCTTACCTCTTCTACAGTAGATTTCAAATAACCTACATGTATACAGAAAGAAAAAAAATGTTTTCATTTTTTACTGTTAGTCAAGAGGATACCATAAGACAAGCCATGACATTAAACTTACAAGTACATTTTGTAAATATTGCAGAGCTATGCAAAGTGAACTTGTAATCTGTAATACACCCTCACAAACATTTTGCCTAGCTGGCACCTACAGTGTATTTAGATTTAAGCAATTACGCAATTAGAAATATATGGAGGAGGAATAGTTGGAACACAACATCATATTTCAATATCTTGCACTAAATTTCATAACATGAAAAGTAACTTGACAAGAGGTCCACAAGACTGAAAGAAAATGAATAAGAAAACAAAAAGTTCACAAGACAGTAGATTGAAGAAAAAAATGGAAGCAGTTAGGATCATAATTTGTTTTTCTTTCTTCTTTTACTGTTCCATCCAAAAAACTATTGTTTACCTTTTCAAAAAAAAATATGTTCCCTGAATATTCATATCAGTATAGTAAAACTTATGCCTTTGATAAATGCCCGATTGATTTATCCTTTTATTGCACTTTATACAATTGGGGGCACTGTGCATGTGCACTTACACATACATGCAAAATCATGTAAAAATTCCAATCAAATATATGGTTTTCAATGTATTACCTGCAACACATTCTACAAGAAATACATTCTACACATACATCATCATTAACTTGTACAATACATACATGTACGTGTACATGTATACATGTACAAATTTACTTTACTTAGGAAACCATGTATTCCTCCTACATGGATGACATCACAGTCATTCGTCATTTTTCTTCATGTTTAAGAAATGTGACGTTTACCCGTATGGAGTTACTAAATACTACATTCTATATTTCAATGATTCTGTATAGCTCTAGGACCATTCAATGTAAGAAAACAAACAAACAAACATCACAATGGTATCAGTATTTAAGTCATTTGCATTTCGCAATAAAAAGTAACTTTATCTCTGAAAACATAAAACGCAATTTTTATAAATTCAGATTTTAATAACATAGGTTTTTCAGTTATATTTACAATTTGGATTGATTTCAATTAATATCATCAAAACTGAATCTTGTAAGAAATGTTATCATGTTAAGCTATTTTAACAAATGTGAACAATGTCACATCATGCATATACAACTTTTAAAAAAGTACTTTATCTTGCTTCTTTGCATACAGTACCGAATAAAAAATATGATTATGTACACTGTATTATCCCCTTTACAAAATTATATTATGCTTGTTTTTAAGGATAAATCACTTTCATACAAAATGAAAGGTCAAATTTATGATATCAAAATATGCAAAACTAGTAATGATTGGTGAACAAATGATATCATAAAGTCATAAAAGGGATGCCAATTCTTCTTGAAATAATGAGTTTGAAATCATTATAATTGTCTTTTGACTATCCTAATAGTTGTTTGATTTTTTTCTCAAACATTTCTTTATGTTTGTCTGACTTTTTTGTTACTATAAAAAGTAACTTATCCTGTGACTGGATTTGACCTTGAGCTTGTTGTAAAGGGTGTACTGACTGTGAACAGCTTAATGAGTTTTTCATCAAAGAAGAAAATCATATATTCAATCCATATCAACATACATTTTGATTTGCAAGCATAGTAGAGAAAGGATTACTGAATTTATATCAACATAGCTTGTTGGCAGTTTGAAAATATTAATACTTTATGGGTCATTCCATGGCTTTGGGGGAATTTTTGTGACATATTGGAAATGATAAACTATGTAACATATCAACCATAACAATGTTTGCTCAAACTGAGTTAAGCATAAATTGCTAAGTACTGTATGTTCAGAAGTATGCTAGCTTCATCAATATCATAGATCTAAATTTCATGTAATCTTATATAAATGTGATGTCCATGTAATGCTGGTAAAAAAAGAAATGCATATCAAGCAACGATTTTGAAAAACAAAGTAATTGAAAGAGGAATGACTCTGGCAGGGCATTACTATAAATATTTATTGCATACAAATCTTCAACCGATGATTTCATCTTTCATGTTTAGTCAAAGATCTTATTCTACCAATGTTACATGGACATCATCATGTTTTTTGCACCAACCTCATGGAATGACCCTACTATCAACTTCACCACTTTTCTTCCATTATAGGTCTACATGTGCCTGGGAAAAGTTACATTGAAGAAAAAAATAATCTATCAAAATTACCTTTTTTTTTTTGGTATCAAATTCATGCTTACATCACATGCCACACACAAATACACATGCGTTCATTCCTGGAAAGAACACCGGGAACAATTGTCCATTTTGTCCAATTGTCCATTTAAACATTTTATTACATTCCTATCAAAGCCTAGTGATATGAGTTTCACTTGCCTATTGACTCTGTATCGCTGCTGTTGACACCGCGATGATTGTTCGACAATGGAAGAGGGGACTTCGATAAATCCTTGATTTTCGGGGACATCAGAGTGATGGAATCCAGTGAAATGTTTGCATCTTTGAAGGTATGCAGGAGGTAGATGCCCATGATGATGACCCCAAAGCCAGCAACGGTGGACAACGTGTCTCGTAAGTTCATGCTGGCCCACTCCTTGAAGAGGATGCCAGAAGCGGTCACCACACACGTCGTGAAGAACACGTAATAAATGGGAGCGATGACCGCTGCATTGAACGTATCCAGAGCTTTATTCAAATAGTGCATGCTCATTAATATACAGACGACGAGACACGATAGCAGGAACCACGTGATGGGGAGTAGAAAAGTGTTTGTACCTTTTGAGTATTCTTTGACAGCGATGCCAAAGCCTTTACAAGCTAGGACAGAGAGGGAGCCCACCAAAGAGCAAATGGAGATGTAGACCAAGATGTTTTTAGGACCATGCGTGGGTGAGACGACGTAGATGAGAACGACTACTACTATCAACAGCCCTATGATGTACGTCACAAATACTGCAGGGTAAAAACAATAAGCCAGAAACTCATGTAATACTATTGCAAACTTATTCAAAGGAAAAAATAATGAAACTTATAAAAATGTTCCTCCTTAATTATTACTAGGCATTTAATAATGTTACATAAAAAAGAAAGTTACATCAGGAATTGGCTAAATATAAAAAGGAAATAATTTGTCTCTTATGAATCTCTGCTTCAAAAAGCATGTACAATATGGGAGTATAGCCCAGACGCACAAGGACAAATAGGCTATTGAAACAAGTCTTCATTATAATAATGTTTGTTAGGATTGAAAGATGGTTGTTTTACCTTGTGATGTTTTAAACTTTAAACTTATCATTAGTTCAGAGACAATGGGGTGTCAACTCATAACATTTGACATAATCCTTCAGGGTTTCAGAAGACAATACATTAAATGTGAACGAAACAACATGTGAATAGAACTTTAATGCATGACACTAAATGTGCAGCTGTTTTAATAAAAGTAACAATAAGGTGGTAGGTGCTTGAAAAAAATTGGGAAACAAGCTATTTTAAGCAAACATTCATCAGGATTTTCTACCCACCTGAATCTTGTAATCGTATAGATAGTTCAGCCAGGGAGGCTGCTCCTCCTTCCACGGGGGCATGTAAAACCATGATGGTTGAGCCAATGATACACTGCATACAGCCAACTTTACCAAGCAAGTTGAGATTCTCTTTCAGGAAATAATGGGACAGGACAGCACTAGGATTGAAAGATCGGAAATGTGTAATTTAAAACATCATAACTATATCAATAAGATATGTAACAAGGTCATAATTAAAACCTATCTGCACTACTTTGGCCAGGAGGGATTAGATCTCCCTGCATGGTCACTGACAGGTGGTTATCTCATCAAATCAGCTCTCAATTAACATGAGAAAAAGGGGATCATGGGGGAACAATTGGTACCGCTTAGGCATTGTTTGTTATATAGATGGCCCAAGTAGCTACAAGTAGTGCAGTCCCGCTTTAACCCAATCCAATCCCAAAATGCAACACAGCATATTTTTCCCTGCACCTGCAAGGTGCTTAAATATTTGTTCTAATGTGGTTAGGTCACCTGTCAAGGTCCTTTTGCTGATACCTCCAATGCCTATTGTTTGCAGTTGCATAATATAGAAGAATCAACAACAAAAAATAACAAACAATCCAAGGCTACAAGAGAAAAAAAAATTAAAGAAGAAGAACAAGTAGAAGGCATTCTGAGTTTGGCAATCATTCTCAATGCATATTGTTAATACACATATCCATTGTTTGTAATTTCCTCTCTGTATTACTGCACTTTTAATACTCACTGTGCAACACAGCTTGGGACAAAATTATATAGGTGAAAAATTGACCAAATAAGTTTAATTTATTATCCTCTTGTAATTTTTCACTTGACTTGTCACTTGTGTGTAGTTCATATTCACCGACACATTCTTAAACTTAAAGGTATAGACCAATTTTGGAAACGCCCCCTTCTCAAAAAATGAAATGGAAGCTCTTATTACCAATAATGTGAAAGAATAGGTTTTGACTAATACGTGATTAATCAAATTTTGGCAGGAAACTGCCTACTAATTGATATATTTGGTAAATTATCATATCTATCTAAAACCTTGCTGTACACACCAACACTTGCTAAATGATCAACCTTTTCTGATCGATTCCACAACGTTTCTTTCACAATGCAATCGCATGACCTGAACTGGTCGTGCTTTAAACAACATAAACATATAAACATATGCAGATTTAATGTAGATGAATTGAACTTACGTAACTAAGACACTCAGGGCACCAAGTGGGGTCACCAGAAGAGCAGGGGCAAAGGCATATGCAATAAAGTTGAGAAACTCTCCAGCAGCCACTGTAAATACAGATTTATACAGATCTTATTATTTGTTGCCAACATTCAACAAATGAAACTGTAAAATGGATATCCAGGTTTTACAGTTAACTTGGCAAATCATCATACAATGTAATCAGGGCTCAAATTAATTTTTTGTCCACGGGGGCTCTTCCCCCGAAAAAAGAGCCCCCGTGAGCCTTCTCACGGGGGCTCTTTTATTACTGACGGGGGCTCTTTTTTTATACAAATATCCATTGAATTGGTACCTATGATACTCCTCAATTATTTGCTATTTCATCATTATCATTTCAATCAGCATTTTCCCTCTTACAAATTTACAAGCTACATAGCTGTTACTGGCCTGTGTATATAATATATACGCATACAACACTGATCTTTATGATGTCTTTAACGTGACATATCTTCTTCTCCCCTTGCAAACGAAAAAGAGAACATGGTCGTTAAAAGGGATTAAGCGACAAATAATGATTGTGATTCAAATTGATGCGAATATTTGTTTGAATAAGCACTGCTATTCACCCGAATCTTCTTTGTAAAAACAACTTTTACAAATCTCAGTCTTGCTTACTGAGTTGAGACGTTCCATTCAATTTAAAATACCCATTACATAATACACTTCTCCTAATCTCAAAGTGATCTTACAACACAGTGGCAGAATTGCATGGTTGAGATTTGTAAAAGTCGTTTTTACAAAGAAGATTCTGGTGAAAAGCATTGCTTATTCAAAACCCTTATTCAAACCCCCCCCCCCCCCCCCCCCCCCCCCGCCGTAGATCTGCTCATGTTACCATATCATTCCACGACATTTTGGTCTTCCTCTTCTCCTCAAAAGGGACTTTTAGATTTGCGTGGATGGGGACGTGGACGTGTTACGTCCTTTTAAGGCACTGGCAATCACATGTGACGTCCTTTTAAGCACTGGCAGTGCCTTAAAAGGAGGTCACACGTTGCAGTCCACGTTCTCATCGTACAAATCTAAAAGTCCCTAATATTGATTTACTGGTCGAGGTTCATTATTTGCTGACAACGTAAACTACCCCAGGCCATGACCATGTTTCTGCCCTTGCCCGATCGCCTCCAGCTCCAGCAGACATGGCGCGGCAGTGTGCACACGCACCACTACTAACGGCGCAGTAGGCCTATAACCACTGCTGACGGCGGCACTGTACTGCGAGCTGAATCGGTAATAATAGGCCTACTCATAAAACGAGAAATCTTGCACGCTAATCTGAGTTCCATTTCATTGGTTTAAGGTTTGAAAATTGAAACTCAATATTGTGTTAAAGTTATAACAGAAAAGATTATCTTTATTTTATAATTCCACCGGGGTGATTATTAATTTTGCAATCGCCCCCGTGAGCAACCTGACGGGGGCGATTTTGTAGCTCATGGGGGCGAATCGCCCACCGCCCCCGTGTATTTTGAGCGCTGAATGTAATGTAGTCTTCTAAAAACATCTGATTAATCACTCTTTTCATGTTGGCAAATGCATGCAAATGTCCGGTCTAAAACAATATTTGAAGGTAGTATTTGTACTTGGGATGTAATTTGTTCAAATTGTGGCTTACATGAACTTCATACTTTTACAGAGGATTTTCATTGATCTGCCACTGTGAAGAGTATGTTTCCAGCATGAAATTTGTCTTTCCGGCATATTAATAATATTGTGAAATAATGTGAGTCCTTTTTAAACTGATAAGGAGAAAAATTAGAGGCAAAAAAATCAATAAATATAATAATATTGCTGACAATATTCTTGGTCAATGCACAATGTTTTTAGGTGAATGAGGCTTGCAAATTAAATGCAAGTGTTTACCACTGTTGAAAAGCCTGAATTCTTGGTAACTTTCAGAAAAAGTGAATATTCTACTTACAAAGTCCAAAGCCCGCCCACCACAGCCATTCCTTGAGATATGCATGTCCACCATCACCTACAGGATAGGGCAATGGAAAAAACAGTATATAAGTGATTTTAGAAGACAAGAGATTAAAAAAAAAAAAGGTTAGATAGCCTAAGTAAAGAGTCCTATGGCTCAAGTAATGGTTTTCAATGTACCTTAGTAAACTTGATATCTTATAACAAATAATGATGATTGATGGTCCTTAGAGAAACTGTTCTAAAATAATCATGAAACAAAACAAATATTCTCAGCACTGACTTGGAATGGGCCAATCAAAAGAAATAGCAGCAAAAAGAAATAGTCCATATCATATAATCTGTGTCTCGTTCTGTTACCCTTAAAGGGATTGGGTATATTTGTCTCAGATTCTAAACAAAATCCTGGATTTAGCTCATGCTACAATCATAATTATAAACCTTTCGGTCAGTCAGGGATCCCATGACGTTTACAAGCCAATCGCCCATATGATTATCAAGACTTTTATGATTGGAATTCGAAATTTAAAAAAACGTTTTCCAAAAGGATTTTATAACACTACAGTCTATTGGGGAAAATGAGTACCTATGGTAAAACCAGTCACTCAAAGATTTTTACTTTTTTGAGGCACTTCATGATCATTTTGAAGCCCAATTTTTTTAGGGCTTCAATATTACACCATATGACAGACGCTGATAAAACATTTTTTGACCAAAAATAGTTATCTGTCTAATTCCCACTTCTTCCTATTAAACAAATTGATGTATAATAAATATTGTGCACTATTTGTTGTATATTATATTTGCAACAATTACACAATGATCTTTTTTTACCTGCTCTTGTTGCATATGCATGGATCTTAATAAGTGCCTTCTTCTTCACAATACCACTGGATCCAATGAATACAGTTGAACTAACAGCAAGCATCAATCCAATAGTTAGATCACTGGTAGATCTTTCTTCTGCTTCTCCTCCCATCGCACAAGCTTTTTAAGCTTGGTATTTTGGGAATTGCTGACAAAAAAAAAAAAACATTGACAATTTAAAAGAGACAAATTTAAGCTTTAAGTCTAATGTCATAGATACTATCATACAGTATCAATTTTCAATAACAAAGCAAAGATATCTACAATTTGATAAGTTTTTACATTTTCAGGAACCAAAGTTTTGTCTTGCATTTTGCAACCTGGCTGCATATTACAGAAAATTGCAGCCTGACAAAGTCATTTGTATTGTGCAGAGGTTTGCCATGAAACCTGTGAGAAAGTGTGTACTAATGTATTCGTTTATAGAAAGAAAGATAAGAAAACTGACACAAAATACATGTACGGTAGGCAAGAAAGATGATGACTTTTAAATCATGACCATTATTTGAATAATACACCCTTTTACGATTACAAGAGTGCGCATGCGCAGACATGGGTGCCACTTTAATTTACGAGTAAACAAAGTTGTTTACTCGTAATTTAAGATGGTACCCATGTAAATATGATGTCAGCACACAGCACAGGCAGTGACGCAACAATACATGTGCATCTAAAAAGATTGATGACGCAATGTTTACGCACTAATTAAAATGGCCTTAACCATGTGAAAGGGTGTATTGTTGAAGATTAAGTTGATTTTTGGTATGTTATACTTAAAATTCTCCACACCGGAGTGACAGGTCCAAACTGGTCAGTTTCTGAACTAGCGCTAGCACCGACAAATGTATATTTGGCGCTAGTTCAGAATCATATCCAGACTTTGACCCGTAACCAGGCGTGGAGATACCCTACTAAAACATACCAAAAAATCAACTAAACAATTGTTCAATTAATGGTCATGATTTAAAAGTCTTTATCTTTCTTACCCGTTCATGTCAATTGTCTTAAATAATTTGTTTGGAGTGTTTTTCCTAAAAACGAAGACAATATACACTTTTTCACAGGTTTCACAGGTAGATCTAGCGCTGACAAATGTTAGTTTGGCGCTAGTTTAGAATTCATATCCAGACTTTGACCCGTAACTCCAGCGTGGTTATACCCTACTAAACCATACCAAAAATCAGCTAAATCTTCATCAATTGTTCAAATTAATGGTCATGATTTACAACAAGTCAGACATTAAATCATTATTTGACTGTTTCGTGTCAATTTTCTTATCTTTTTGTTTGGAGTAGATCTAGACTAGATCTAGACTCTAGGTCTATTTTACTAAAAACAAAGACATTATGATAATATACACTTTCTCACAGGTTTCACAGCAAACCGCTGCACGAAATTACATAATTCCCCATACCAGCACTCTTTGAATCCCGACTTTCACTTGCACTTCCAACTTAAACCACTTAGATTTACAGACTATGACTTACTTCAAACTCAACGTCTGGGACCAAGGCAAAAAACAATAAATTTTTAGTGCACATTCAATCACACCCTGCTTCATGCGTGATTAAAATATGAGTGTAAATGAAAATATAAAGCAAAAGTCTACTACATTATAATTCAATGTTATCAATATATTCTATAAAGAACAGTAAAGACTTACTTACACGTCGTTGTGCTAAATATTGATTCAGTCTGTCTTCGTCATATATCACAAATAATGACATTCACACCCAAAACCTAGACAACTCTTCCTAGATCTAAATAAAATCGACCAATCAAAAATGTTTTTCGATGATGGGGACGAGTCATGGTATTTTCTTTCTACAGTGCAGCGTTAGTCACGTCTTATAAGGTGATCTTATTTTACTTTTATTAGAGAAAAAAATGAAAATAACGGGGAAAAAAAGAAAAGAAAGTAAAAAAAAAAAAGAAGATAAGAAACATACTGACAATGCAGCTTTTGAGGACGAATTTATGAACGACGTTTCTAAAGGGACGAGCTGTATTCTTCACAGCTTGGAATGGCCGAATTACGTCGCGTCCTTGCTCTGACACTTTTTGACAAATATTATAAAACCACAGAAGTAGTTTGCAACATTTTATATCTTGATACATTTTTAAAATTTATTTCTTAATTAACTTATTTTTTTGGTTAAAAATGATATCATTCTGATTATTTTAAAAGAGCAATGCATATGCACGACCCCGAAAAGTTCGTTGACCTTGCCTTCAGTTTACTTTCCAGCACCGTGTATCCATGTATGTGGCATGCATGGCGCGTATTCCAAAATTTGCTTTTTGAACACTTGTCTTTGGGAGGGTTGGTTAATTGGTTTGGCGTTTGATTTTACTCAAACTCTGCCTCAAAAGTGGCATGTGAAAGATTGGTCATTTGGGTTTTTTCGGGGGAAGGTAACAAATAATTTTAATTTTTTTTTTTTAATGGGTGGGACCATGGGGACTGGTGAAATTGTTTCATGGATTTATAGATGCCGATGCATTTATGAAGATCAACCTAGAAATTATTGACAGATTTCAATCTGAGTGACTACTAAGTTTTCAAACTGAGATGCTCCCTCAACAAGTTCATGAACCAATCATAAGGATTAATTCCTGGTGCCACTGATGATGAAAATAAGGCGAATATTAGTTGCAAACAATGGACTTCTGGTCTTGATGCAAATATGATTATCCCAAATTCTGAGGTGGCTTAACATATATCAATCGTTTTCCAGGCATCTACATGTATATAATATGTGTTAACTGTTTGTGTCTTGCAATTATCTTTAGACCATTAAAAACGGAGAATATACAATTTGTCAAGTTTGTCCATCAGTTATGGAATAATTATAAATTTTCAGTGACGGTCATCTTGCAGTTTGGTATTTGATCAATTTTGTACATGTGTTCACAACATCTTACATGTGCATGTCATCATTCCTGTATCAGCTTCACAATGAATCCTCCTTTCTTTCATCTTTATCATTTACTTGTTTATATTTGCTTTTTACTTCTGATGGATGATGAATGAATTTTGCTCTCTCTATTTCTATCTTCCACACTTCTCTCTCTCTCTCATTTCCTCTATCTTGTTCACTTGCTTGCTCGCTCTTTCTCTCTCTCTCTCTCTCCCCCTCTCTCTCTCCCTCTCTACCCATCGATCTTCACCCCTCCCTCTCTTGATCTATCTCTCTCTTAATCCCAACCCTCTCTCTCTTGCATACTTCTATCTCCATGGTGTGTGTCCGGCCACTAATCTGAAAATGATAACAATTGCCTAAAGATGTGATGATATTCAATAAAATTATGCCCACTATTTAATGGTGAAAGAATATATAATTTGATAATTATCAACTCTCTTAACAGACACAGCATATTACAAAACAAAAGCAGATTGACAAAAGCTAAAAATTATAATTTTATACAAATTTATTCTCTAAAAAGTTTGCAGGGTATCATTAACAAGACAATATATTTTACTTGCCCAAATAGACTTGCTACTAAGATTAAACATGAATCAAATATGTTTTATGTAAAATCAAATAACGTTTTTTGAGACTGTAGCGTCATGAAAGGTTATCTCAATGTCCCGATGTCTTGAAATCCAAAGTTCATAAAAATATACATAGAACACAGTTACAGGCATACTTGTGCATCATATAAATAACAACAGTGATTATAAGCAAGCTTGGCTTATATCAAAACTTGTGTGTGTGTGGGCACTTTTGTGGGGCAGGGGGTAGGTTAATCTTCATATTGTTTGTATTATTAAAAGGTCAACTTGTCAAGTATAGTTTTGGAAAGTGCCCTACAAAAAAATTCTTTTATTTTAGATGATAAATTACAAGATACTAGCAATATTAAGCTACTGTAGAGGTTTTGTTTTCCTCCTTACGTGCAATCTTAAAAGAATAGAAGGTCAAAATAATCCATATACCTCAGGTGGGATGTAGATTCAGACAACACATATAAAACATATGGGACACACCCTATCTAAAGACGAAGCACCAAGATTATTGTGTGCCATGTGTCACTGTGTGGGGAGCCATCAGGCTGGAAGAGTTCAAGCGTAGGGAAGTTTATAGCCGTTATTACCTAGCATTCCTTGCAGATCATATTTACAATAAAATTCACTGGAAAACGTGGATAAAAGACCAAATTATCTTGTACAAGTATCGTTTAAAGCCTATCTGCACTAGTTTGGCCAGGATGGATTAGACCTTTCTGTGTCGTCACTGGCAGGTGAGGTAGTTATCTCATCAAATCAGCTCTCAATTAACATAACAAAAAAGGGGACCATGGGGGACCAACAGGTACCGCTTATGCATTATAGAGGGTAGCGATAGCTTCAAGTAGTGCAGTCCCGCTTTACAACAAGAACAACATGAGACCATGTTCTAAAAGTCTCTTTCCAATATCCTTTTTGATACCAAAACAGTACATGAGCTTTAATGTGATAAACATACGTCTGCATTTCACTGATCATTTCAAATCCGTTATCTGATGAAGACTTAACACTCGGTACAATTATCTTCCATAGGAGAGCAAGAACTCTTTGTAGCAGTCATACATTGACCGTAATACATGTCTGCATTCAAGAAATCCCAAATGCGAATCAATAATTTTGAAGGTATTTCCATTATTTGAGGACAATATTACCTGGTAAATAAATTAATCAAATTAAATTTTGTGATTAGGATGTACCCCCACAAATGCACACATCTCATGTATCATTCAATTGAATTCAGTAATCCTCCTCATCATGTAAATTTCCAGCAAATTCACAGATGATGTCATAATCCATCTTGATGATCTTCTCTCTTTCTCTAAGCAGTTGTACATCAGCCTGGCATTTCGCTTTGTCCTTCTTGAGTACGGTACCGATCTGCATTAACAATTATTAGAAAAGATGTGTTCAACGTTAATTAGATACGAGACAAAAACAGGAATGCGTCATATATAGTACAATCATCTAAATCCTTCTATAGTTTTATCACATTCTGCACGTACAAAATACTGCTTAAATGAATGACATTCTGTGAGAAAAGTAATACATCTATCCCATTTTTGTTCTCCCTTTAGCCAATTACCAATTTATAAAACTCACTCCCAGAACCTAATCAAATGATTGGTCATGCGCAGTCACGTGAGATTCATTTACTAAGACTATTGCACGTTTTTTCATGAAAGCGTGCAATAGTTTCCAGGACTATTGCACGCTTTTTGTGTGTGCATACATGATGCGCAGTAGTGCATGTAGAGGTTAGGGCGCTTATACTGCGTGTGGGCCTATTCTTGTGCAGCACTATGCGTAAACGCGTATAGAGGTAAGTGCGCTTATCTATGTGTGCGCACTAAATTAAGCCTATTAAACTTGAGATTTATTTGTCAGCAATATACTGTCACGAAACAATCTGGAATGAAATATTATTACATCAAATAACAAGGATCTAGGAGTTTCGTTGTATAAAACAAATGATGCATGTTTTCATCCGTTCATTATACTTTCTATCCGCCCTCGTTGATGCTGTGTGTATCTATCGCACTCAGCCGTGATACACAACGGCCTCAACTCGAGTGCGCGTGCGGATAGATAGTATAATGAACTCATGCACATGAATCATTTGTATGTTATTTTACATTGTACAGATGCAAAGGATATACCCTGGAAGAATCTACCTAATCCATTGTAGCATATAATCTTAAAGGTAAAGACCAGAATTGGAAACGCCCCAATTTCAAAAAATGAAATGGAAGCTCTTATTACCAATCATGTGAAAGAATATGTTTTGACTAATACATGATGATAAAAAATTTGCCGGGAAACCGCCTACTTATTGATATATTTGGTAAATTAGTTTATCTATTGGTGTGTGAGCGTAGTCCCATATTCATCTTTCTGTGTATAGTGCTTGTAACTTTACGAAGACTGGGCCAAATTTCTTACCACTTTGATGATTCCAGAACCTTGCAGTACACATCAATACTTATATGCTAGATGATCGACCTTTTCTGATCGATTCCACAACGTTTCTTTCACAATGCAATCGCATGACCATAACTGGTCTTTATCTTTAACATTCTCAATTTAAATGATGAAAATTTTAAACAAGGCACCAATCTTTACAGGTTAATTCCTTCATATGATGATTTATCTTCAGCTGTGCTGTTAAGACAGCAACAAAGCCAATCATGGTCATGTTCAAATTGGACTTCCTTCTTATGGCATAAAATAACGGGTTAGGAACATAGTAAATACCATGAAAATGGAACACATGAAAGAAATGAAACAAAAATTATGATCCACTTTGGAGTAGAAATTTATGGAAAGAAATGATTATGAAAGGAAAATTAAAAAGTACAGACCTGGCCTTTGTATTTCCCATTGACTACCATGATGTATGCAGGATCTGTCTTGGGTATGAGAGTCTCTAGCATAGATTGGTGGACATCTGTGAAGGAAATGGTAGAATGAATGAATTAAAAATGGTAGTGGTACTAACCAGTGGCGGATCCAGGGGGAGGCCCCCCCCCCCCCTGGGGAAAAAATGTGTAAAAAAACATGACTTTAGCTTTTTGGGGGGGATGGGCCCCCCTCCCTGGCGCTCAAGGGGGGGGGGGGTGCAAATTTTCGAGGGCCAAAAAAAAAAAAAAAAAATGTGTTCACTACCCAGTGTTCATTGAAATTCAGACTAAAGTCATTTGATTCAGGATTACATGAGTTTATGAAAAAAA